AAAAAATTTTATGGGGACCTGATTAAAAATCAGATAAAACTATAAGGATTTAGAGATTAATTATCCCTAATAATTTTATGTGTCCCTTCCATTATACTCCTTTCGATTCAAAATATAAGCTAAATTATGTTAGAGAAGCTTTTTTTTAATATAAGATAACATTCATTTTTGTCTAGGTATTTAATGAGTTTTTTTTAAATTTTATCTCTATATATTCTCTTTCTTCTTTTGATTTATTGTATCTTTTACGTATTCTCTTCATTAATAAGGGCATATTTAAAAAAAAATACATGCATTACATATTTATTATTTTAAACTAATTTTAACTAATTTCTTGATAAATGTAAATGGACAAAGTTTATCTTATATTTTGAATCAAAGGAAGATTAATACTTTTGCTTAGATTTTGGTGTTAGACTTGGAAGTTTGTGTTGTATAATCTTTGGAGGTATATTTTTCCTTTCTAAACCTATTTATAAGTCACTTTTAATATGTTTTATCAAAATTAAGAAAAATTTTAAAATTCTCTTTTAAAATTTATCAACTTTTCAATTTTACTTCTATCTAATATTTATTTTTTTAGGAAATAATAATCTACATAATAATAAATAAAAGGTAAAATAGTACTCTTACATTAACAAATAATAATGTGAGTAATAAATTGGACCATAAAAAGCTTTTTTCTTTACTTTCTTTTGATCCTACTTACAGGTCACTCTTATTGTGTTGTGAAATTTAAGACTTGAAATTCAATCGACTCTGGATTTTTTGTTTTGTTTTTTCTTGTAAAATAATGGTTATAAATAACTTTTTTACCATAAAAAAATGAAAGCTTGTCTTCCCCTTTTTAAGTTTTTATAGAGTCCAGATATTTTTTATTGATTAGTAATAATAACGAAAACTTGTCTTCACTCTTATGTTATGTATACACTTTCGAGAAAATAACAATATATTAATAAATAAAAGATAAAATAATTATGTTTATCTTAAAACTTTAATGATAACATTTATAAATATGATAAAAATATTTCTCACCTTATGAATATGATGAAATTAAGAGAAATACTTAGGTACTTCCAGAGTAGCAGCTGATCTATGCTCTGGCCAATAAAAATGCACCAACTCAAATAATTTTAAATCACGCGGCAGCTAACTCTTTTTTCTCATTTAATTATTTTAAAAACTAAAGGAAAAATTATTTTTTTAATTCTCATAATTTCACGAAGTTTGTAACTCAGTTTTCATAGTTTGAAACTCAGTCCATAAAGTTTAGCCCGCTTAATAAGTTCGTCCCTAGTGTTACTGAGTCAATCTTAACCGTGCTGGTGTGTCACAAACTCTGTCAAATATGGTCTTCATGGCATCCATGTCAGCAAACACATACGATTATAGTTGGAGGTTTTTTAAAGGAAAAAAGAATTGATCCACACCAGACAATAGAGAGAACAAAACCCTGCAAAATTGGCTCACTCAGCATCTTTGGATTGTCAACTTCGCAGCCGCATCCTATATCGCTCGCCGGTCGAGTTGCTTTCAGGTTGAGCAGTCATAATAGCTTCAGTATCATTGCTAATCGATGTTCAGGGGTCGTGTGATTGTGTGATTTCTGTTGGCTCCAAGTTACAGACAATATTCAGTTCACGTTCCTTCAATTTCTATGCCCTTCTTTTTACCCTCTGTTCTGAGCGAGCGGTTCTGAAACCTAAGACTCTGAAATGGGTTACTGAATAGATCTTTGAAGAAGCTAAGGCAGTCGAGGTACCACACCAAAATAGAGAACTTATAGAATTCCTCGATCCTAAATATAGAACGCTTTTTATAGTGTAAATTACACTTATATTCAGGATTGCAAGAGTAGCAAGTGAAAAAGGTTGTGGTTTGCTTGTTTCGAAGAAAAATATTAAACGGTATATCCATGTGCAATGTGGCCCACCAATTTTGTTTGCTTGTGAAGAATATACAAATCTGATAGTTATAAATCCAAACGGGCTAGGGTGGTAATTACATTACTGAACCATCAATGCAATTTCTTGTAACTTTTTGTAGAAACTTTGATCACTTTCCACGCAAAATCATGAAGAATATTTGAACGCTTCTTGAGATTATTCAAAGGGCTCTTCTCCCTTTTCACACCTAGATATAAGTAAAATCATCAAAAACACAGACAACATAATCACATATATAACAATATAATCTAAATTAGTGCATATTCTTGCTTTTGTTATTATGTTGCAGATGTTTTTTTTTTTTCATTTTCCAATTCCTCCTAACAATGTTATCTTCATCCATAATTACAACGCCTTGGCTTATTGAAAGATTGTAAAAAAAAAAAAGAAAACCTTTCTGGTGCTGCTCAGCGATAGAATATTTTCTCAGCAGGGCCAAATACTTTTGTCAACCAAAAAAGAGCTACCATACCAAAAAAGAGAACACATCATAGTGATTGAAAAGGCTGAGGTTTGCTTGTTTTGAAGAAAAATATTAAACAGTATATCCATGTGCAATGTGGCCCACCAACTTTGTTTGCTTGTGAAGTTCATGCATTTATCAAGTTTTGTTTGCCTATGAAACTGTGGCCTTTATCTTCACATGACAGTAAGTGGGTGTATTTATTAGATTTTGGTTATTGTACATGAATGTTGGCAAACTTTAGCAGTCCCCCCATAATCATATTGTCTTTTGCTTTTCGACCATAGTCTTATTGTTTTCTGCTTTTCAACTACTTAGGCACATGAATGATATTGATTAAATATCGTAATATGGTTTTTAACTACTTTTTCTGTTTAGTTATAGTTTATAGCGGGTGATTTAATTTATAAGGAGTGGGATTACATGGATGATTCTAGTGACATGAGTAAGTTGACACCTTTACTTAATATTATAATGTATTTTTTCACTATATATGTCTAACCATGTAATGCAAGTTAATAGGTGATTTGATTGGAGCTAGGAAGGTTCAAGTGATGAAGAGAATAATTTTAATATCCAAAGTTATCAAAGTGACGAAGCATATGGTGATAGTCTGATGATAATGTTAAAGAAAAAAATATGGGTGCCTTGAGACTTTAATAATATAGGAGATTATGGGACTATAGGAATGAGGTGTGTCGAAGAAATTATGAAACTACCTTTCAAATTCTCCTTGATCGTCCTTTCATTGACCGACCGCCTAGGTTCAAGAGGTTATACCTATGTTTAGATACAGTTAAAAGAGGATTTTTAGTGACATGCGGGCCCATAGTTGGCTTAGACGGATGCTTCCTCAAGGGACATTTTGGTGATATACTGCTTGTAGCTGTGGGACAGGATCCAAATGAACAATAGTTTCCGTAGGCAGTAGCGGTAGTTGAAGGTGAGAATAAAGATTCATGGTCATGGTTTTTGGACAAAATTTCTTAATGATATTGGCAAGACAAAGACTTTGGGTTTTTACATCTGATCAACCAAAAATGCACGATTGATTATGCATGTAGAGAAGAGCCCCTTGATTATGTTGATGGATAGATGAAGCTACAAGCTTACATTGATTGTTATTTTCCTGTGGTCAATGCAATTAATGGACAAGACTTGTGGGAACATGTGGATAAAGAAGAGTTAGACCCACCACTATATCATAGAAGGCCTGGAAGATCACCAAAATTAAGAAGAAGAGGACCGGATGAGCCTTCATGTCCTAATAAGCTTCGTAGGACTAATACAAGTCTTCAGTGTGGCTCTTGCATAAAGCATGGTCATAATAAAAGAACATGCAATACTAGAAGTAGTTCACAACAAGCTGGAAGTAGTTCACAACAATCGTCATCACAGCCGCAAGGGCAGATGATGAACTGGATATTTGTATCTTGTACACTTTTTGACTGCACACTTTTTGTTCTTGTACCAAATGGGATCACTTCTGTGGCAATATCACCTTAGCAGTATTTAACTTTTGTCGCAGGAAGTATTTTGCAAATGAATTCTAATGTCAAGTTGGCAAAGACCAATGTAATGAATCAAAATTTGCTTCTACCATTTTATCTCTTTGAAATCTATTCCTTTGTACCATTGTAAGCTGTAAGTTGGACCACAAGTTTATTGGGTGGATGTGTTTAAGTCTAAAGCATTTAGAAAATGGCCTGTTTTGATTCCGCATATTGAATCTGTCAACTTAATTTTTAACATGTCCTATTATGAATTTGACAGCAAACAAAATAGAATATGACAGCAAAAAGGCATTACAATTAAAATGGCATGTCCAGAAATAAATCAATATGAACATAAGAGATTGAACAGATTCAAAATTAACTTTTCATTCATTGGACTTGTCTTTGCCAAATTGGCATTACAATTCATACCTGCAAAAAGATTATGAAACAACAGCTGTAACATTCTACTCCCTTCCTAACTTGTTAAGTCTACACCAAAACAATACCTACTACCTATTACAAAGCATATAATGTTAACTACAGCGAACAAAACTCATAAAAGCTATTAACTAGTATATAGCTACAGGCAACAAAAGCAGTGAGACCATAAACAATCCAATTTCCAAAATGTAATGCATTTTGATCCTTCTCTTCAAGCTCTCTATTATCTTCTCTTGGTTTGCAACTACTTTCTCTTAATCTGCAATATAGCCTACTATACCAGCATGACTAGTTTAATAGGCTTGTTCCTGGAGCTAGCAAGTTGTCTTCATCATCAATAAACAACCTCTCATTTGCAAAATGTGGCTCGTTGTACACCTGAACCAGATCAATGAAATTGAAGGTGAAAAATCCATGTTATCTCACGTACAAAAAAGATGAACCACTGTAGAAGCATGATTAGTTTAATAGGCTGGTTCTCCTTTTAGTCTTGTGGGCTATTATTTTGTATATTTTTTAAGTATGCTTTAATTTTGGATACAATTTTTTTGAGTAATGAAATTCATTTTTTCACCCAGAGAAGTCGTAGTGCAAATGAGAGAATGATACACGTAGCATCGCTGGATGGTATGGAGAAATGAACCTTTATCAAAATTCTCTGGCTTCTCATTTCTCCACAATTTTTTCAGTATACTGGGAAACCCAATGATAAAGAGATCCAAAAAAGACAAAGAGGTTCATAATGGAAAATGTTTACCAAAATCAAATCTACCTCTAACAACAACAATCTACCTCAAAATGTTCACAGATTAGAGCTATTCTGTTTCAGTTTAAGAAACAAACCATTGCAAGTTCCGGGAAATTTTAGCCTCTACAACTTAATTAACCTTTAGCAAAGGAGTTAAAGTAATAACAATTGCTCAGTAGTGCTATAAAATGCGAATCTGGAAGGAGTTATAGTAAGTAATAACAACTTAATCTAGAAGGATTAGCAAAGCGAGCAGAGAAAGATCTAGACAAATTGTCTAGTTCATCCAGCGCAGAGCCCCGATGAAAGTTCTGCAAGTAAGTGCGTGGATCATAATAAGGAAGATGCAGCAAAGTTGCAGAAGACGCACTCCACCATAGCTTCTCGAAAGATGCACTCCGCCATAGCTTCTCAGCCGCCGCACTCCATCGTGGCTTCTCGGTCGCCATTTGCCTTCTTCATGTTCTTCCCCTTCTCAAAGCTCACAATCTCCTCTCACCCTAAAGATGTTCCATTGTTTTAGATCCCATTTGAAAAACAAAAATCAATGTCATTTTATTTTACTAGATATAACGTCCAACTCAACAAAGTTTAGTATCATGAATGACACATCAGCACGATCTACCATGAGTTACTAACATAAAAAAACTATGAGTACTGAGTCGCAATGAGTTAAACTATGATTGGCTGAATCGCGATGAGTTAAACTATAAGGATTAAATAATTAATTTTTTCAAAACTAAAAATGACTTGGTTTGGCAAATTCTTCGGCTACCCCTCCCTGCATTCTCTCTCTATATCACTTCTCTCTTCCTTTGGTTTGTTGCCATTGAAGCGCCGCCCAACCTTCACTATCTGAAAAAATAAGATTTCTTTCGTTCACATATAAACCTTCATTCTTTTTCTAGTCAAGTAGAAAAGTTCTTTTGTTATTCGCTTCCAGCTTTCAGTATGCTTTTTTCATTTTTAATAACGTTTAGAACTATAAGATCAACCCAGATCTGCCAAAAAGGGAATATATGAAAAACAATTCAGAGGCTTATATTCTACAAGATGATGGAGAATGCCATATCAGTAGAAGAGTACGAATGATAATAAAATGAAGAGCAATACATTCTTCTCCTATGTTGTCGATAACGTCTCAACCACCGTCATCAACATTTGAGAAGGAAACAAGAAAGAGATGAAGGGCATCATAGGATTTAAAGGTGCTTCCTTCTCCAATGCGTTTTTAATCTATCTACCACAGTCTTCAGCATGTTGGAACACGATGGGGAGAGATGGAGGACGCGGTTCAATGGTCGTTCTCGAAGAAAGGTCGTCAATGTATGGAGAAAGTAAGCAAATCTGAGATAGAACAAAGAGGGAAGCGAGCGAGTATGAGAAAGAGAGAAGAGAGGCGCAGCCTTGGGGGGGGGGGGGGGAAGGGGGGTCTGGCTTTTCTCCTCTACTGTTATGGTTCGCCGCCTCTCCGATCTCCCCAGAACGCACCGTTTAGCGTGTAAAATGACAAATGGGATTCAACCAAAAACCCTGCAATGCCAGAGAATGAAAATCAATGAAGCAACAAAAAATAGGCAAAAAGTGGACATCGATTCTGGATAAGCAACAAAAGAAATATTTCTAAATGAAAAAAATCATTAAAAAAAAAAAGAAGAAGACCCAGCCACAAATTTTAAGATTCGAGTATTGGGCTCAGCACTTTATACTCACTATGCTCCTTATTATAAAAGACTATTGATTAATTTACACATAAGAATAAAAACAGTTAAATACATTAAATTTATCTTAAAATTTAAGCTATTTTCAGTAGGAAAACTAACAAAATAAAAAAGCTGAGAATTTGTAAATATCAAATAAAGAATGTCAACAAAAATTTGTTGTCATTTACTATAATATCCTAAATTTTATTTAGGTCCAAAAAAATTCAAAAAAATAATTGAAAAATAATATAATATAATAATATTTTATTATAATATTTATTAAAAAAAAGAAAGAAGGTCAAACTTTCCACCGAATTCGGTGGAAAGTCTGAGAAAGGGGGATGGGGGTTGAGGGTTGGGTTTGAAATCCCCCTCCCCCAATAAATGTGTGGGGGTGTTAAATACCCCTACAATTCATTTCCCCGCAGGCGCAAGAAGAAGAGAGAGAGAGAGAGAGCTGAAGAGTGTGTGAGAGAAAAGAGTATACTGGTGAAGGAGAGGGCAAGCTTTAAAGATATTTTAGGTATATAAAATTACTTCTCTTTATCAAACTTTCTTTATGAATATTTCCTGTATATTTTGAGCTTCCTATTTACATTATTACTATAGTGATTGGAGAAAATTTTGAGACTTATATATGATCTAAGTATTGAGTTTTGATAAAAGATGATTATAGAAATTTAGAAATAAATGAATTGTTAATTTTAATCAGTTTAGATTTCTCTATTTGTTAGTTTTAGTATTTAAATTAATTAATTTAGTTGAAAATCTGTTATTTATGGGATATATCATATTTTTACTGATTAAATTCAAGTTAAATAATTTATTTGGATTGTTTGATATATTATTGAGATCTTAATCTGTTTAGTTTTATTTATTGGGTGAATGGAGGTTTTAAAATAATTATTGTAGCTAAAAATTTTATTATTTACGGAAAATATATATATGGTTAGATTATTTATTTATAAATATTTGAAGTATTATTGAATTTTTTTTTTGGTAATAGAAAGAGGCCTCAGGCCCAAGAAACCAAAATAAACAAAAAGTCAACCCGGGTCCATATTCTTCATATCATCACGCGTGGCCATCGAACTCATCACTTCTTTGCAAACACCTGACACCTTATCCTGCTCGAACTGGTTTTTCACTTCAAATGGGATATTATCCCAAACTGGACAACCTCCAGTCATATTCCTCCCCATTTTTACCAATATATCAGCGCAAACATTCAAATCTCTACTTATGTGACAGATCTGAATTTTCCAATTCCTGTCTAATAGCTCCAAAATTCTTCTTTGTATCCCAGTAGGCAAACCCACTTCCTTCCCTTTTAGTTTCCTTGCCAAAATGACCGAATCTGTCTCAACACAAATCTACCTAAAACCTTTATTCCAGGCAATCTCCAGTCCCTTAAGGATACCCCAACTCTCCACTTCAAGAGCATTACAAATTCCAAGACTTTGAGCAAAACCACAGATCCATTCTCCCTTTGCATTTCTCAACACTCCCCCACAACTTGCCCGCCCAGGATCACCCATGCATGAGCCATCTGAGTTAAGCTTGACCCAACCTTGCTCTGGTGGCACCCACCTTGCAAGTCTCAAGGGAGAATCTTCCATCAACTTATCAATTACTCCCTTCGCATTAGCAAATTCATAAGCTAAAACCCAAATTTTTCAAACCAACGAGATGCTACAAGGGTTCGAAGCTATGAAGATTTTTTCATTCCGTTGCCTCCAAATGCTCCAACAGGTGACTCCAAAGATAACACACCAAGGTATACCCTGAACTTTTTGCTTGATTTTAAGATTATTTATTACCCAATCAACTTGTGTTGCTGAAAAAAATCTTTTTTGGTAATTACTGTTACAAAGAATTTCTAACCACACCTTCCTTGCCCATGGACAATCCCTAGTAGCGTGTAGGGAGGTTTCCAATCTACCACAATTCTCACACGAGCCCTTAGCACGCTATCTACTCAACCGAAGTGCATTAGTATGTAATCTATCTAAGAGCAAGAGCCAGAGAAAACAACGTACTCTTTCTGGTCCACTCCATTTCCAAATCAAGTTCCAAAAGCTATCCTTTACCCCAAGCTTATTTCCCCTTATTCTTCTATAGCCTTCCTTAACTGAGTACTCCCCAATCCCACCTTTCTAGAGTAGTAGATCTTTGCCATCTCCTTGGGGAGGATGAACTGCCCTAATTCTCTCTATAGCTTCTCTGTTCAAAACACCCCTGATTCTTTCCCAATTCCAGTTACCATTATGGTCCACCACATCTGCCACCGTCCATTCTAGGCAGTCTTCAGTTACCTCTTGAGAGCAATGATTAATCAAAAGGAAACTTTCGTTGATCCATGGTTCGAGCCAAAATGAAGTGGTTTTTCCATCAACTACCCCTTTCCAAGATTTCTCATGAAGGGTCTCCCAAATTGCATCTATATCTCGCCAAAAGGCAGAGGCACTCTTTGGGACTTGGAGGATTGAAGAGAGCTCCTTTCCAGAGTTGTATTTATGCAACAGCACTTCTCCCCATAAACCTCCCTTTCCATTTCTTAGTTTCCAAGCTAATTTCAGAAAGCAAGCCTTATTGAATGAGTCCAGATTTAAGACCCCCAAATCTTCGTATTGCTTTGGTTTTTGAATCTGTTCCCAACTCACCAAATGAGTCTTCCTAGCATTTTCTCCATGCCCCCAGATAAAGTCTCTCTGCAATCTTTCTAATTCTTCAGTAATACCTTTAGGAAGAAGGTTTATCATCATGGGGTACATCGGTATAGCTCCTAACACAGACTTAGTTAGAGTGACTCTTCTAGCAAAACTTAGGCAGCTCGCCTTCCACCCTGATAGTCTCTTTTAACCTTTTCCACCACATATCTGAATTTTCCCCCTCTGCCATCGGAGTAATCCAAAGGAATGCCAGGGTATAGCCCTAAATCTTCAGTTTCTCTAAATCCCGATAAACCAGCCAAAGTTCTCCTAGTTTCTGTAGAAACATTCTTGGAGAAGAAAATAGCAAATTTCTGAAAATTCACTTTCTGACCTGACAAAGCCCCAAACTTCTTCAAACAACTTAAAGTAACCCCAATCTACTCTTTTGTTGCTTCCCCAAATAACATCAAATCATCAGCAAACATTAGATGGGAGATTTTTGGCCCATTCCATCCTACCTTAAAGGCTTTTCACAAACCCTCATTAGTTGCCCATTGAATCAAATGGGTCAACTTCTCCATAGCTAACACAAAAATATAGGGGGATAGGGGTCCCCTTGCCTGATTCCTCTAGTTGGGATAAACCTCTCGGTCTTTTCTCCATTCCACATCACTTTCATAGAAACGGTTGTAATACATTTCAAAATTAGATTTCGAAAACTATTCATAATACCCAACTCCTGCAGGATCTCATCAATAAAACTCCATCTTAGTCTGTCATAGGCTTTTTCCAAATCTATTTTCATAGCAAAGTAACCCTTTCTCCCTCTCATCTGTTTCATAGAGTGAACAATTTCCTGAGCAACCACAATATTATCCTGAATATGGCGTCCAGGAACAAAACTAACTTGGTTAGGGGCAACCACCTTATTCAACACTCCCTTCATTCGATTCACAATCATCTTAGTCACACATTTGTAAATCACATTACACAAGCCAATCAGTCTCATCTGTTTCAAAGAATCAGGTCTATATATCCACCTTAGGGATTAACACCAATAAAGTGTTATTTATCTCCTTCAAATCTTCTAAATCCTGCCACAGATGAACAACATATTTAATAACATCCTCTCCTATTATGTGCCATTTTCTTTGAAAGAAGACTGCCAGGAATCCATCTTCTCCAGGTGCTTTAAAGTATTATTGAATTTTTGATAGTTTGATTTTGAGGTTTAAACTTAAAATGAGATTTTAGAATTTAGACCATAATAATTTTATATTTGGAAATTGTGAAAAATCCTTTTTATTAAGGTAAATAATTTGGAGGTAGTAAATAAATAATTTGGCTTGTTAGAAATTTTAAGTTATTTCTAAAATACTTAATAATTTGGGTAATGAGAGTTGTAGGAATTTAGAATAAAAATTTAATTAAATTAGAAATTTAACTAATATAGATAAGTTTAATTAATTAGT